TTGAGATAAAAACCCAGTGTTTCATTTTTCTGCTTTGCCATAAGAGACAGTACACAGTCAGCACAGGAAACCCAAAATGGCTATTAATTATGTTTGTACCTGGAATCAGAAGTGAGGACTCAGTGTTCAGCCTTGTATAGATCTGTTTCCTCAAGTTGGACATCCATGTGTGCAGGCTGTCTGTCACCCAATGGAAAACTTTACACAAACATATATGTCGAGTCATACATGCATCAGGTTAACTCCTTCACAGACTTTTACATGCAAAAAAAAATGTTAACGTCTTCAAAGTTCATCAGATCTTAATCTGTTCACCTCGACGCCAATACACTGAATAAAGTGGAAGCAGCCTGTAACACTGGTAATTTCTAGTTTCTGATGACAACAGAGGGATTCATTCTGCAATACTGGGTGTGATGAAAACTGGAGTTGTTTGCAGCATGTCTTCAAGGTTTTGTTTGCATGTGAACTAAAGAAACACCTTAAAGCTTTTTCACTCACCAAATACAGATGAAAGCATTGACACTATATCAGGCTCTCAGGTTGCGTCCTTGTTAGGGTGTCTGAAAAGAACGGTGTTTTGACAAAGTAAATTAACAATTTAAAAAATCTAATCAAAAAAATATCTCGGCAGTGTGGGGAAGTCCTTGAAACAAGATTGTGCAGTCAAAATAAATGTTATCACTGTGTCTCAGATAGCAAAGTACAATAGTTAAATGGATTTGTCAAATGTGGGTGGAATAAAACAATCAGAAACATTCGTCACAGAGATTTTTTGATAGTCAAACAATTATTTGGCAGGTTGGATGATCGGGGCTAATGATTTCTTAGAATTTCACTAAAGTGATAAGTAAAAGATTAAATCATGAAATAGAAGTACCGAGCTGAAAGACACTAAAATGCATCATAGAGCTAACGGAGTTGCAACGAGGGAAGAGGGTTCTCTCTGTATTCAACGCTACAACTTTAAAAGTTTCACAATAATTCATCAAGTGAAAGATGTGAAAATATTGATTTGTGTAGTTTTTACAAAAACAAGGTTGTTAAAACTTTTGTACTTGTTTTAATTCATGATACTTTCAACTCCAGAGGTCCCAGAATGCTTTGCCCAAACTGAGGCAACACAGAAGCAGATTTCCCTGCTGATTACACTGCTGATAACAATAAAAGCAGAAACAGAAATTAAATGAAAATGCTTTCTCCTCATTTTGCCATGTCACTCCAATCCATTAGACATCTAACCTTGTTTTGCTGCAATTTACACTCCGCCGAAGATTCTCTCTTCACTACAGAGTTATTCATTTTCAAATTCCAAAACACTGCAACATACAGTCAACCAAGGTTACAGTTGCCTCCTGCTCCCCGACACAAAGAAAAAAGTAGAGAAGGAAGAACAAAAACAAGCTGTGCCTTTATCCTTCCACTCATTATACATTAAGATGGCTTTTACATGTTTGTTAAGATAGCGTAGCCTAATGGACTTTGTGTGTAAAACATCATCAATGACTGCTGCTGCACAATGAATAATTTACTGCAGTGCTGCTTATTGCTCTGCATGCTTTTTCCACATCCAAAAAATTTGTGCATCCTGGAAGTCAGAAGTAAAATCAGCCTTTACCGGGAGACCGGCAAATGTAAATGTAGATCTGAAAAAAAACATATACACTACTTAGTATTCCAGCTGCAAATCTAAACGTCTTTATTCTGGGCATACACGGTACAATTTTAGAAACGCTGAAATTCCAACTCGTCTGCAATGTGAAGCCAAATGTCACTATTTAAGTGCTCACACTGTGCGGTTCGATCATCAGCCACAGCCTGACTGCTCACTCTGTACATGTCAACCATCAGACCCTGGTGACAGCTACTGCAAAAAAAAAAAATAACCTGTAGGAACTAGAGAATTAGTTGTGCACCGTACACTGACTGTTTGATGCCCCACTGGGGTAGAAATGTTTGGAGTTCCAAGTCAATGAAAACATAAAACCTATCCGTGTGCGCTGTGACACACTGTACAAAGCGCAGTTAAATGTCCAGAGAACAGAACTTGACTGCACATTCTGGTGACAGGGAGAAAACCGAACACTTGGAACCTCTTTGCATAAACTTTCGTGTCACCAGTACTGCATTTACCAGTGATGGACCCATTCAACAAGTCAATCAACAAGACCTGACAATCAAATGTGTAGGGTCATTTAGTCAGTGTGAGTAAGCATGTTTAACACAACATAAACAAACATGTCAGGAGGCTAAACTCCATCTGCAAAAAAATGCAGTGGTGTCACATTGTTGTGAATACATAACATTACACCACTATGCCTAACATTAGGTTAATTTAGTGTCTATTGTGCACATTGAGGCGTCTCCTCAGGTTTGTGCTTTTCTTCCCAGCTTCTTTTTAGCTGCAGGGATTCTCTCCAACGCTGCTTTTTCCAACCGAGCCCCATTGTTGTCACATTCTTTTCCCATTTTTTTCCCACAGCAGTGATACGGCCAAAAATTACATCAGCATGAAAAAAAAAGATGTGTCAGTATAAATATGCATCACGATAACAAACTTCACATTTGTTGTTGTTGTTTAGAGACTGAATTTGGCTGCTGAGTGAAGGTTACAGTTTTAGAGAAAGACAAACACTGATAAACATTTTACAAAGCTGAGGTAGATCAGTTATGTGTTATACTTCCTCACTATTCTTGCAAAGAACATAATCACATGGATATATATTAGACCTTTGCTCTATCGCCATTAATTCAAGTTATATCCCAATAATTATTGATTTGGTTTTATTTTGCATCCCTAAACTATAGCATTAAAGTGCATACACTACCATGGTCCAGGCAAGCAGTGTTGTTCATGGGTGTGTGGCTAGTGTCACTAGGAAGATGATATGGACACTCTGTGTACAGTGTGCTATATCTGTTTGATCCCCACAATGCTCTGTTTGCATACTGTACACTGCCAGCAGACAATATTCAGCTCCAGGCAAGACAGGAACCCAGCAAAGAGTCAGTGCCTCTCCACATGCACTGCAAATGTCACATGGAGAGCTTTGCTATATAAATATGCAGATCCTGTGTGTTCGCAGCTCAAACATCTTTATTTTTAGATATTACTTCAAACTAGTATATAGTTTATGTGCTGAGAATATTAATGAACAGAATAAACAGTCAAGATGACTGTAGAGTCCCTGCTATAAAATGTTTGTTCATATTCTGTATGATCAAAGAATTCAAGAAGTTTTTTGACAAGCATTCACATCAGGAAGTGCCCTTCAGTAATGAGCTGTGTTCATGTACGGTAGCTGTTTCAACGATATTTCATTTAAGGCTGCAGAGGTTATTTGAAGATTCTCTCAATAATCAAGTAATTGTTTGATCACGAAAATGTCAGAAAAAGAACATTGTGTGTGAGGACTTTGAAAGAATTTGATGTTTGTCTGCAATATGTAATGTTGACCAGAGTGTTTCCCACAGAATTCATTAAATCTATGGCTGTAACAGGGATGCACATACACAAAGGTCACTCTCACGCTGAACTGATTCCAAGTGACAGGTACACAGACTAAAGAGTAAAAGATAAGTTCTGATGAGAAGAGTGATGAGAGAGAAAGATCTGCATTGACGCCTCAACTGCAACTATGAGGTCTGGCTCAGAGAGTAAAATAATTATCGACCGCAGCCCATGCATGCAGTAGCACAATGGTAGCACAAGCAAGTACGTGACAAGTAGCACACAAGTTAGAAAATAAGAACCATGTAAAAAAAAATGTTTGGTTCATGATGAAACAAATTAGAATATGGCCGGCTGCCACAGTCTAGATAATTCATGGGAAACAATGATTTAAGAATAAATTTGACGTGACTTTGTTCATTTTGCTGTTCTTTGAAAGTTGTAACCATGACGGTAGACACTGCTTCAAATATGGATGTTTGTGTAGAGAAGTTACATTATACAATGTGGATTTCACAGACATCTTCAACCCAGCAAAAACAAAGGATCCTCACTGTCACCAGTGTCAAGGTGGAAACCCAAGATTAGTGGAGGCACTTCAGAATCCAACCAAATGTGAAATTGTTCCAGAGTAATGGTGCTGAATAATGGCCAGAGGAGTGTTTTTGCAGAAAACTGTGATGTCACAATGAAGCTGACCTTAAAAGTTGAGGATGTAAGATGTCTAGATCACAAGATCAATTTATGAGATTATAAATGTATTAGTAAAATTGTGTCAGAACTACTGAGGGAATTCTTGAGTTATGACCCAAAACTATTTTTATTACATTAGATTTCATTTAGCTGATGCTTTTATCCAAAGTGACTTACAATAAGTGCATCAACCATGAAGGAACAAACCCAGAACAACAAGAATCCATTTACAGCAGTATTTACCAGTATTTTTATATTTAACTTTAATCACACAGACCAAATCTAACTTACAAACACAGTTAAGACCAAACATACAAAAGCATAAAATACATCAACCACAAAAAAAGGCCAGACTGGATCAGTCAATTATTTGGTGAAAATAAAGTAAATTGCGAGGAATAGCCAGAATGGACATCACGCAAATTCAGGGTGTCACTCTGGGAAGTTAAGGTGCCTAATAATTTGGCTCCAGATGCTCCAGGTTTTTCATGAAAACCTTTTGTGTTGCTCCGAAGCCTCTCAAGATGTATCCCTGAAACTAGTTCCCTGAACCATGTGGAGAAACAAGGAGCGTGGTAGCTTTCCATTTGCTGAGTATTATTCTGTTTGCTACTAACATACCAAACACAAGGGTCTGCTGTAGAGTATGTGGCAGTGCAAGAGAAGCTACAGAGCATTCAAACAGGGCAACCAGTGCATCAGGTTCAATGAATAGCATTTAAAAATATCCTGCCTGAAGGCATCAATCGTAGGAGATCTGTCACAAATATCAGACACATTAGGGTACATTTGATTATTTTTCTCTTTAGATAGATGGAATCTATGCATTTATATTGAATCAACTGCAACCTGGCATTAATTGGGCCTGAACGGATCCTCTCCATCCCCTCCCTCCGCATCTCATACTCTACACCAAGATCGGCCTCCCGGACAGATTTAAAATGTTTTGATGAAACAGTTGACATATTAGCAAATAGTGGAGGAAGGAGGACATCCAGTGATGTACGGAGTAGCTGTGTGTTGTAGTCTCTGCTCATATAATATGAATTAATAGTAATATGACCTTTGACTTCTGATGACCACAGTCTGATCACTCCATCCCTGAGTTTCAGCCAAAATTCTCTCCAGGCATTCCTACAATATCATACTCAACAGACTGGGGTGAGTGGACAGACACAAAACCCTCACAGATAATGCCTCTGGCCATGCTTGTTGCCGGCCCTGAGGTATAAAAAGAACATATCAAAAACTAGGTTTATCACCTCAGGCCTCAACCATATTAGACACATGAAGCTCAAGTGTTTCCAGTCTCAAACATCAGCAATTTGACCTTTCCACTTGAACAAGCAGTCAGCGAGGAAACAAAAAAAAAAAAAAGAACATACCTCAACAGCAGCCTGTAACAGAACTAAACTTTTTTTAATTGCATCACTTAACACTAAGCTCTTTGAGATGTCAAGCTTTGAACCTGGACCTCTACAAATCACAGAGGCTTGTGATAAACAGCTCATCGCTAACCCGGTGCAATGATTATAATTATTTCTGATGAAAGGCGATGGAAAACATGCAACAACTGTTCATAAGTCCATTATCTACCGCTTATCCATTGAGGGTCACGCAGGAGCTGCAGCCGATCCCAGATGACATTAGGCGAGAGGCGGGGTACACCCTGGGCAGGTGGTCAGCCCTGCCAACAAATAGATACAACCAATCATTCACCCTCAGTCATATTTACCATCAAATTAAAGTGTTCAAATTACCTATAACCTCCATCTGCATGTCTTTGGACTGAGGGAGGAAGCCAGAGAAAATCAGTGCAGGCACAGAGGGAAAACTTGCAAACTCCACAGAGAAAGGATGTGTTCAAACCAAGACATTTTTTGCTGTAAGGTCACCGCTGTACCCCCATGCCAATTACATTAACAATGTAGGCTTGGATATTATGGAAAAGTGCCAAATCACCACTTCTGTGATAAAACGTTGGATTCGGCCACAGTGACGGCCACAGCCACACATGGTAATTTGTTCCAAATCAGCATCACCCACACTAAAAAAATAACATCTGTTTGTTGTTTATTTGCTTTAAACTTTACGTTGTTTAAATGATTGCACACATTTTAACACTGTAGGATTACACAGGGAATTGTTTTGTTATCTTAATCATTTGCTTCTTTGTCGTCGAGTGACCGTGGTTGTTGGGGGCGGTCCCTTCCTGCTTGCAAAAGGTGTGGCTGCAGGCTGAGGACACATAAATCCTGGAGCCAGCTCATTGGGCCAAACCATGTGCTGCTATGTCAGGGGGGGGAGTTGTGTTTAGTGGTTTTGCTTTGCATTTAGTGGCAGTTGGTGGCCATCTTGTATACCCCTTGTTTGTAATTTGGTTTGGCCAAACCCCTATGTATGTGTTCATTTAACATAGTCGTCAGTTGTTACATTAAGTATAGTTTACTTTTGTTGACTTTTTTTATAGGCCCAGTTATTAATTTTTGGTATCTAATGTTTTGTATTTCTTCGAGGGAAAAAAACCCAGGTCTTTCAGTTACAACTTCTGTGTCCTCATTGTCTCACTGCTTTGTCCCTTACGACCACAAACAGCATTTGTTGTCGCCTCTCTCCCTTGAGTAAACTGATCAGCCTGCAGGTCATCAGTGAGCCATTACGTTTGTGGAACACTATTTATATCTGCTGCAACAAGTGATAACTATGTTTGAATCTACAGAAACAGCAGCTTCATTCTGGGCTGATAGTTAAAAACTACATCTCTCTTCTCACTTACAGACTCTCTCTCTCTCTCTCTTTACACACCACAATCTAAATGGTATCTCTTTATGCCTGGCTAACCCATCTAATTATCTCCCACCCGTCATGTACTCCTTTTCTGCATTTCTTTACAGTGTCATCTTACCTGCCCGTCAGCCGGAATATCAGTCGTTTTTCTTTCTCCTCTCTCTGTCTCTCTTCACTCACTTTAGTGTGAGGAGGATTGTCTACCTGCCCCATGTTTAGATTGCCTGGCTTGCATTGTGTCTGTCAGACTCACTGTCTTTACGCTCCGTGCTTGACAGCCACACCTGTCTGCTAAATACTAAGCAGCGTTTCCCCTGTCTGTCTTTATTTGTGTAGTGTGCAGTCTGTGAGGCTGGTCGGGCCGTGTCATTGCACAGTGCGTCTGATAATCAATGCGACACATACAAACCCTCGGAGTCTTGACCTTGTCTGATGCAGTGAAGCCATCTGCAACAACATTCTCCTCATGCCGTGCCTCGTCCTGTACCGTTCCAATGTGTGCACGTGGGAATGCACATACCCTCAGTAGATAACAGTCACATACATGTGGACTGGTTCGTCTCCACTTCAAAGTCAATCAATCTTAATCCTGAACTAAACTACAATTATTTATAAATCAATCAATATATTTTTAAATCTTGTACCTATTGATTTTTGTTATACTTTTGTTGTTATTGTTATCCCTTTCTAATCATTACCATATAAATTAATATTTAATTAAATTATATTATTATATATATTATTTAGTTCCCAATTAAATATAAGATAATGTTTTTTTTTAATAACGGTAATTTATTTTATATTCATATAGGGAAACAATATTTATTTTATTGTTAGTGCTTTAATAAGAACTTAACTTAACTTTCAGATGTCAGAAGCTGTAATGTAACTGTGGCTGTGTTTTTTCTGCTCAACCAGCTATGAGGCAAAAAACGGTTGTGGCAGCCAGTGTCGTATTCTTCATGAGGCCTTTTCAACAGTGCAGATGTTTTACTGTGAAGGTTTCATCACCTACTTTCAGCCAAGATTTTTCAAATACGAAGAAACTCTGCTCAAGGATTTCTTTCTGCCAATAGAAGGTAGCAAGAGCTACCTCTGTAGGTGTACTGTAGCCTGGTGCTATGGTCCAACACTAACCTCAAAGCTAACCTGCAGATATTTCTCAAATTGCCCTGTGCAGATGTTTCTTAGAACTACCCTTCAACCAGATGTGATCTAATGTCACCAGATTTCTAGAGGAAGACATTATAATTAATACTAGAAAGACATTAAGGCTACAGATGTAAATTACTGGTTTTCATTTTGATCTCAGAATTATTGTCAGCTTATGTCTGATGCAAAAAGGCCTTCTAATGTAATATGTAATATGGATATGCAACCAAAGAGACGAGCCTGGTCTTTTTACCCTGCAATAGCTGCATGGGGGTGTTGTCGAAATGTCAAGTGGTGAGACTTGTCTGTAAGGGCTTTGTTTTTATCCATTAAGCTTTGTCATTTAAATAACGTCAGCCTCAGCATTCATAAAGCAACGAGTGCCAGTTTCAGTAGGATGGATGGATGTCGGACAAGTCAGGTGCAGAGAGATTATAATATGAATTCAAACTGGGTTGATATTGTATCTGGATCTGACCTCGTGCAGTCAAAGATTGGGGAGTGACAATAACATCTTTGACCTATTGCAGATGATGGATGTTGTTGAGGAGTTGCAGTTGATGAAATGCAATATGTAAAGCATCTGCAGCAGGGGACATGGCAGTGGGCTTAACTACATCACCTTCTTGAAAAGGGCATGCTGCATTTTCTAGGAGCTGCAGGGAGTTGACATGGATGCTCATAAGGGTGTGTGAGTTGTTGTTTTTTTGTATTTTTGATATTTGGCTGTAAACATGAGAACGCTGCTGTACAACCCTTTAAATATCAAGTATAAAAGTTGTTTTAGTGCAAAATAAAGAAAATTAAAGTGCGTTTGGCAGCCATCTTGTCTGTCTGAGACTGGGGAGTCTGGATAGAAGGGGTGCTGAAGTGCATTGCAATCACAGCAACTTAAAGTGTGAGTGGTTTGACCTTATCTGAGGCAGTAAAATCAGCTCTGTATGCAGAGAAAGTTACTCTCATCAGCCCTCTGCCACCCTCAGCTCCATATGGCTCCTAAAACTGTACGGCCGGTGGAAACGTCAGACAGACATCTTTTAATAGCACAGAACAACAGTTAAAGAAGTCTTGATGATGTTTCAGGGGCCGCTTACTTAAAAATCTAAGTATGGTAATTATAGTGTCATATAAAGCTGTGCACTTCCTTGACCTTGACTTTCACCAGACTGTGGCATGGGCATGGCGACGAGCCAAATCTCATCACGTACTTGATTCGTGAAATGCCTGTGAAGTGAAAGGAGTCGCTGTCGTGACTTAATGCATCAGAGGAAGCACATTCCATCCGTCCGCTGAGACTTTGGTGCACGCAGGGGAGTGATTGGAAATAAACCAGAGAGAAAACACAGGGTTTAAAAACAGATCTTCTTTATCAATAGAAACCATTGCTGAAGTTTGAGTCAGTTTCATGTTATGTAACCATGTGGGACAGCAACTCACGAGCTAAAGCAACGAACAGTGTGATGCACTGTGCTTTACTTTCTGCAGCTCTTCCCTGTTTTTCTCTTGGTTGAGGTCAAAGGTTCAATTGAGTCAGTGTGTTTTTACAAGAACAGATTGTATGGATGTCTGATAGAAAAGGTGCACAAAAGGAACTGAAAGACATCCTGTTTTAGAGCGGCTTTATAGAACAGTCTTCTACAACAACCCTGAACTATTTCTTTACCACATCTACAGTAGATCAATGAGGAATTAATAAATATCATTTAAATCTCTGGGTATAACACAGTGCAACTCATCAGCCACAAACCACATCCTTTAAAATGAACTTAAATTGAATCATCACTAAACAATTAAAAAGCTAAACATTAGAACTTCTCTGAATATAAGCTGTTTTCAGATTTGACCATCCGGAGAATGTCCGGAGATGACGGTCTGGACATTCACTGGACTCTCCGCTCAGACAACACAGAACTCTCTGGAGAGTTCCAGTGAGAGGTTATTACAGCACACTGGGGTTGGCTCTCATCCCCCAAAAACTCTCCTGACGTATGACACTGCTTTTGTCATCTGGACATATTTGTTCTCTTTAATTTTTATCATTTTTGCATCTGTCACGTTAGAAATGTCATCAACACATCCTGTGGAGGATCTCCTGCTGTGTTTTCGCATGGGCTCCATGACAATTAGTCTACAATGCAAAGCTGATCCATATCAATATATTATTGTCTTGTCTAAATGTTTCAGCAATCTATTCCAGTGGCATTCAGGGGAGCACGATCCATCTTCCAATACTGTTGTATGCAAAATGTGAGCCCCTCTGGTAGGAAAAATGAAAGTAAAAGTAATTTTCCTAATTTTGTCATGTGCAAATGTTGATGATAAAATGAAGGTATGTTTTTTTTCTGTGATCAATTACAGAATTACATTCAGAAGCAATTTATTTTGTTGCATGAAAGAAACTGCACCTTTATTAATGGCTGCCAATTTGCAAGGAGATGGCTGGGCTTTATAGCAGACATGCACAGCACAAACAGAGGAGTTTGCATCCTCAGTCCTATCTGTGGTTTAAGCAACAACAGTACTTTGGTTTCCCAAACCTTAACCATGTGCATCTACGTACAAATTACACAATGTCTCTCCATCTGTATGTCTATCGTTCATCTTAACTTCACAATAAGTATATTTATTTTAAATGGCCTGAAGCAGTGCAGTGTTGAATCTGGTGCGATTTGGTCAATATTAATAAAATAATAATAAACACGCAACCAGCACTCTGTAGAAGTCAGTGTGCTTTCAGTCTGTGGACCATGTCTTTTTCTAGATTCCTGGATAAACAATCCAATTCACCAGCTCATTTTGATCATTTGTTTTTCACTTGGACGGACACAGACATCAGAGGATGTCGTAGATTAGCATCTTTAGCATTATGTCTACAGAGTAAAAGATCATTCATTTGTTTTGTTGCAGAATGCTTTTTAACAAACAGAATTACAGAGCTTTAATTTTGAAAAGTTGTGAACTTGGGTCTGAAGATTGAGTCTGTTGCTTAATAGACCCCTGAAATATCTGACATGCAATGGATTACAATATAACAGCAGTTCATTAAATCATTCAAACATGTGAAAAATGATAATGCAAGTACAGTTTCATTGTATGAAAACAATTGACTATAAAATCAGTGCAAAAAAACTAAATCTGATTGATGATTGGTCACTTTTACAGTATTGGAAAGAAAGCTGCAACCAGCATCACCACAGGCCAAATAAACAGCCCACTGCAGAGGGGCAGGTTGAGAGAGGGCACTGCTCTAGTAAAAATAAAAATAA